ATGCTTGGCTGCTATGGCCGTATAATCATATTCATTCAAACGGCCTGTAACCGGAGTTACCAACCTGTAATGGGCGGCAATCTGCTATTCATATGTCGCGACATAGCTTATTACATGGTTGCTACCTAACCTCAATGGAGGGCATATTAATGGAAATGACATAGATAAAACAAAAAAAGCAAAGTGAACGTGTCATTTAATTTGCTGCTTGTGTCATGTATTTTCACACCATTTTGCCTGCTTGCATTTTGTGTTCTATTACATGTGTTCATGTTTGCTTTTTGTTTTAAAATGGTTTGAAGACATACAAGTTGGAGAAAGGGAATACAATTGCAGTAGAATACAATACAAGTTGTGTTTAACTCTTCATTTCACATCATTTGGCAGGCTTGCATGTTGTTTCTTGATACCTAATTTTAATGTTGCTATTTTTTTTGTTGTTAAAATGATTATGGAGGCTACAAAGTGAGCAAAGAACCCAATTGCATAGAACAAAGAAGTCCAAAAGTTGCGATTGAAAACACACAGTCGCGAAAGCGCGCCTGGCAAGGTCGCGACGCGCGTTGAAAGCACCAAATGGAGACAGTGAGTTATCGGGCACAAGTCGCGATGCGCGCACTTGAAAGTCGCAGGCGCTAGAGTGCAAATAATGAGGGACAGTGAGTTCGCAGGCCACATTCGCGATGCGCGCGATGGAAGGTCCGGAGTGCATTACAGGCCAAGGGCCAAGCGCCGAGCGCGCACTTAAAAAGTCGCAGAGCGCAGAGAAGTGCCAAATGAGAGCAGAGAGTTCAGGTAAATCGGCCGAGCGCGCAAATGAAAGTCGCGCGAGTGCGGCAAAGAGTTTCAGGTGAAAGTCGCGAGCGCGTACAGTGCAAAATGAGAGTCAGTGAGCTTCAGGCACAAGTCGCGAGCTCTTCATGCAATTCGCGCGCGCGCGCGTGGCGTTTTCCAGCCTGCACTGTCTGTACTCTTTTGATCATATCTCTCAATATACAACTCCGATTTGAATGATTCAAAAACCCATGTAAAGCTAACACATAGAGGAACAAATAACTCTTCTATAACACTTCCTAATTCCATCATTAAATGGGGTCAAAATCAAGATGAAGTTATTGGTAAAATTTTCAGCAAAACCTGTTTCAGCATAAACTCACTATTTACTTCATTTATTCAATACCTCCCCTGTTCTCCCCTGTTTTCTAACCATTACCAACCCTCCCACTCAACATGAAGCAATATTGTCTCATTAGCAACACACCACACAATTTCTCATGCAAAGAAAATGGTAAATGAAAATAGATATCAAACCTTTACTCCAAAAAGCTTGAGCTCCTCTTTAACTTCCTTTTTCTACTACCTTTGAACTCCCTTCTCCTATACACATCAAAATTCTTATACTTATGAACCATCTAAAAAAAATATCACCAAATGATTCAAGTATGAAATTCAAGAAGGTTTACTTACTTGGATAGAATAGAAGTTGAATTAATGCTTAACTCCCATTAAAACATCTTCAACTACCATTAAAAAGTGATGGAGAAAGGAAAGTGGGAAGACGGAAATAGAGGAGTGGAAGAAGATGAAGATAAGGATGAAGAAAATGAAAATGAAAGGAACTACGGGTTAGTCTCTAGAATTATCATGGATTTTTATTGTGAAAATTACCAAATGGTACCTTTCAAGTGTCAAAATGGTACAACTTCCTACCTCAACTTTTATATTTTATGCAAGCAAGTCCTAATCCTTATACTTTGATCTTTTTGTTTCCTTCAAGTTTTGTTTCCTTCAAGTAAGTCCACTTCTTCTCCTTATTTCATTCTAGCCCACTCTAGACTCTAATGGCTCGAACCGGGTTTTGGATCAGCCCGACTAGACTCTAAGCAACGCCTCGATTCAATAGAAAAATGGGACGTTACAATTACCAAGTGGTAAATCTAATTTTATTATTATTTTAAGTCGTTCGACATCAATTCTAAGAAGTTTATATTATTTTCGACTGGGTGTTCCGATAACTTATTTTGGGCTTGAGTCCAACTCGCTATTTAGGCTCAGATTAAAATTGCTCAGTACTTAAGCCCCTATCGTCACAAATTCAGATTTTTTTGATTTATTAAAAATTCATGAGTTTAGAAAATAAAAATTCAGGGTATTACAGTATGATTATTCAAGGAATTTCAGCTATATTTGATTTTTATTTGATTCCTTTGAAAGGATATGATGTAGTTTTGGGCGCTCAATGGCTTAGCACCTTGGGACCAATTGTATGGGATTTTTCTAAAATGACCATGTAGATAGAGATGGAAGGAAAGCAGATTACCCTCAAGGGCTTGACTGTTCCAGTGAATAAAGTAGTAGGTGAGTTTGAGATGACAAGAGAATTAAAAAAAGAAACAAAGGGGTTTTTGCTTACAGTTATGTTCCCTCTCCATGGATCATATAAGCACCCTTAACCCACCCAATTCTTATCCCCCAGATCTAGCAAATATCCTTCAAAAATACAAAAAAATATTTGACTAACCCCAAAGTCTACCACCAACCCAAGCCCATGACCATAAAATACCACTCAAACCCAACACCTCACCCATTTGTGTCGGACCTTATCGTTATCCCTATTACCAAAAAAATGAGATTGTATTACCAAAAAAATGAGATTGAGAAAATGTGTCAGACATGGTAGCCACAGGGGTTATTTGCCCTAGCCAAAGCCCATATTCATCACCTGTGTTTTTTGTCAAAAAGTTTAATGGCTTGTGGAGATTTTGTGTTCATTACCGAGCCTAGAATGCAGCCACCATCAAAGACAAATTTCCCATTCCAGTAATTGATGAGCTAATAGATGAACTATATGGAGCCAAATTTTTCACTAAATTGGATTTGCGTTCTGGCTATCACCAATTCCGGATGCACTCTAATGATATTTACGAGACAGTGTTCCGGACACATCATGGCCACTATGAATTTTTAGTGATGCCTTTTGGACTTACAAATGCCCCATCCACTTTTCAATCTCTCATGAATGAGGTATTCAAGCCCTACCTTCGCAGATTTATTCTGGTTTTCTTTGATGATATTTTAATATATAGCAGAACCTGGGAGGAACATTTAAAGCATCTTGATCTGACGTTTAAAATTCTAGAAGACCATGAGCTATTTGTCAAGAAGGAGAAGTGTGACTTCGCCCAAAAGGAAGTTAAGTACTTAGGCCATATGATTTCAGCAAAAGGAGTCTCGGTGGATCCAGATAAAATCGTTGCAATTAGGGAATGGCCGATACCAACAACTATTAAGGCACTGCGGGGTTTCTTGGTCTAACCGGTTATTACCAAAAATTCATTAAAGATTATGGAAGGTTAGCTGCTCCACTTACACAAATGTTGAAGAAAGGAAATTTCTAGATGAGCTCAAGAGCAGTACAAGCAGTTGAACTCCTAAAGAGGGTGATGACGCAAGCACCTTCTAGCCCTCCCTGACTTTAATAAAACATTTATGGTGGAGTGTGATGCATCTGGAGCTGGTGTGGGAGCAGTCCTTATGCAAGAACAGAGACCAATCGCATTTTATAGCCATGCTCTCCGTGGTAAAAATCTACATTTATCAACTTATGATAAAGAAATGTTGGCCTTGATTTTGGCAGTTCAGAAATGGAGACTTTATCTGCTATGGAGAAAGTTCGTAGTTTGCACAGACCAAAAAAGCCTAAAGTATTTGTGGGAACAAAAGATAAGTACCCCAGCTCAACAAAGATGGCTTGTCAAATTGATGGGGTATGATTTTATTATTGAATATAAGAAGGGATATTAAGAAGGGGAAAGGGAAATCAAAGATGGCTTGTCAAATTGATGGGGTATGATTTTATTATTGAATATAAGAAGGGGAAAGAAAATCAAGTTGCAGATGCTTTATCGCGCATTCATGAAGTAGACAGTGGATCATTTGCTCTCTCCATGCCTATTCCTACTTGGCTAGAGACCATTAAAGAGGAAATCAAAAGCAACACAAAAGCTTAACACTTGGTGGCCCTATGCAAGCAAAGGGAAGCAGTAGGTCTATGGGAGTTTAAAGACGGTATTCTCTACTTTAAAGATAGAATGTATTTGCCATCTGACTCTTCTATAGTTCCTCTTATTGTTAAGAAAATGCATTCCAGCACTCATGAAGGGTACCATAAGACCCTCACAGGGTGAAGTCAATTTTTTACTAGCAAAAGATGAAAAATAGCTTGCGGGAATTCATTAGAGCATGTGATGTTTGTCAAAGGAACAAAGCTGAAAATGTTAAGGCAGCAGGATTATTGCACCCATTTCCAGTTCCTACTCAAGTTTGGACTGATATATCTATGAATCTTATGGAGGGACTGCCCAACTCCAAAGGAAAGTCAACTATTTTGTTGTTGTTGATCGACTTTCTAAGTTTGCTCACTTTATTCCAATTTCTCATCCTTATACTGCTTCGGGGGTAGCTCGAGTATTTTTATGAGCAAATATTTAAATTGTATGGGATGCCTAAGAGTATTGTTTGTGACAGAGACCCTACCTTCACTAGCATCTTTTGGAAAGAAGTATTTAATTTGCAGAATACCATATTCAACTTTAACTCTGCTTATCATCCCCAGACTAATGGACAAACTTAGGCAGTTAATAGAGTGATAGAGATGTATCTTCGTTGTTTCACTAGTCATAAGCCCAGTGAGTGGATGCGATGGATTCCTTGGGCTCAATTTTGCTATAACACTAGTTTTCACTCTTCTACTAGAGCAACTCCATATGAAATTATGTATAGCAAGGCTCCTCCAACCCTTCTAACCTATGTTCCAGGCACCTCTCAAGTGGAAGCAGTGGACCAAGAATTAAGAAATAGAGAATTGGTCATGAAAGAGTTGCAACACCAATTATCTAAGGCGCAGCAACGAATGAAAAAAATACTATGATACCCATAGGAATGAAAGAAGCTTTGAAATTGGAGAATTTGTCTTCCTCAAGTTGTAGTCATACAAGCAAATGACAGTGGCACTTCGCAAGAATCTTAAGTTGTCTCCAAAATGTTATGGACCATTTGAGATAATAGAAAAGATTGGTCAAGTGGCATACAAGTTGAGATTGCCTGTAGGCTCAAGGATTCATCTTGTTTTTCATGTTTCTCATTTGAAGAAGAACAAGGATTCATCTTGTTTTTCATGTTTCTCATTTGAAGAAGAAAGTGGGAGTTGATGTGAAGATACAAGAATCCTTGCCAATTATTTCAGCAGGTGAAGATTCCATGACAGTAGTTCCGCAAGCAGCCCTAGACAGAAGAATGAGAAGAAATAAAGAAGAGATCTTGGTGCATTGGCAAGGACTTTCGCCTGCTGAAGCTACTTGGGAAGATTATCAAGCAATGAAGACAAGGTTTCCAGAAGCCTCCCTTGAGGACAAGGGTGCTGTCTAGGGGGAAGGAATGTCATGCGTCTATCTGGCTACTATTATGGCAGTTACTAGAGTTTGAATAAGTCTTATTACTGTTATTTGTTTCCTTTATTTTTGCCGAGTAGTTTTCTTTATTTTTATTTTTGCTAGTAGTGCATTTTTAATAGGGAAAGTAGTTTGAGTTGTACTTATAAATAACCAGTTATCAATGAAAAGAGGATAACTCATTTATTTGTTTTTACTCTCTGTGAGAATCTTAGATGTCTAGTTTTCTTCGAATTAAACCAAAGCTATTACCCTTTATTTTCTACTAAAATACCATAGGTAAACACAAGCACCACCAGTCTAAAAGAGATCTTTTTCCTCTTCATAGACCCACAATCAGGTCCCAGATTCAAGCACGTGACAAATAATTATGTTATTTTTTCAATTTTTTTTGGTTGCAGTCGGTCACTAATCTTATCGGATGCCATCTAATACACTTTATCAACCAAATTTAATCTGTTGCAATTTCGCATTTTTTTTGGTAATGAATGTATCAAACTTTATTTTATAGAAAAATAAATAAGATTGAATTGAAATTTTAAAATTAAAATTTCAAAAAAATTTTAATATTTTTCTATAATATATAATATATTTTTATATAAGTGGTCTAGCATTTTTTTTTTTTTCTGTTATCAAAATCAAACAAAAATTCAAAATTTAATATGATTTTGGATTAACCCAACCCAATGTATAACCCAATAGTCCTTTATAGTTAACTTTCATTTTCTCTTCCAAATAAAAAGAATGAACTGATTGAACATAATATATAAATCCATTAACAGTGTACTTTAATTAGTCTTTAATTATGTCACGAACAAGGTGTGATCAGCCTTGACATCTAAGTTTTGAAATCTTGACTGCCACATGTCGGTAACAGTTGGCATAAACAATTTCTTTGAAAAAATTGTTAAGGAAGAGATTATAGAATATGGACACCATCATCGCAATAGGAATTAATTAATTCTCTCACACAAACAGGGACGAACAAACCGCTGGAGTTACAAAGTCAACGTGTCATCTCTTAATTGGTTAGAAGGTAGAAAAGGTTATGGCCCAAAACAAAGTAACCCTCTCGTGACAGGTCGATGTGTCCTAATCAGAAAAGGGGACCCACCACGTGGGAATCTGATGAAAAATTCAGAGAATCCAACGGCTCAGAGAGCGAGAGAAGCGCTGACACGAGGGAAAGATCTCCACTGTATGGGCAAATATCTGATAGGATGGATTCGGTGTGTCTGTTTTTTTTACCTGCACGTCACGCATTTCCCGCCACCATGCTGTGTGGGACCCAGGATATAGGATGAGAGAGCGTGAGTTTCAAGGTAAATAAGAAAAATAATTTATTTATACTGAATAAAATTACATAATAGCAATAAGTTTTATATAATTTTATAAATTTTATTTTATGATGCTGTATTTTTTATTTTGTGGTTTGACTAACATCAAAAATTTAAAGTTAATAAAGGATTAAAATTATTAGTTTTATGTACAAGGAAAAGTATATATAGAATAAATTTTGTAATGAAATCTATTTGCAACTCGATGATTTTATTTTATGTAATTTATTTAAATCTAAAAATAAAAATAAAATATAATTTTGCATAATATAGATATAAGCTAGTCTTCTTTTTTATTTAGTTTCGGAATAAAGCTTTTATATATTCTTTAAAAAATAATTTTGTTGTAAGGTAAATACAAAATTATTTTTACTTTTATTTATTTAATCATCAAATATAATATGAAATATCCTCAATACAAAAATTCACCATTCAACTTTAAGATTTAGATTTTATCTTAAAGTTTTCGAATGACATCTTAGCTTGAATTTTTTTTTTTCTTTTTTTTTTTTTTTTTTTTTTATTTAATCAGTCAGAATTATAATCATGAAAATATCCTCAATACGAAAATTCGACCAGTTCAGAGCTTGTAAGAGTTTAGGATGTGGTGTATCTTAAAGTGTTTTCCCGAATGACATCTTAGCTTGAATTTTTTTTGTTTGCTTTTATTTTGTTTTTTTTTTTTTTGTTTTTGTGTTAAAATAAACATGCAGCTAGGGTCCAGATTGGAACGGCTTTTTTTTCCATGGAATTAGACAAAAGTGTAGGGGACTAATGTTTTCCGATCCGATTTCAGCAGTAATGTGGTTAAAGAAAGAGTCCGGTGTTTATAAATCGTGTATATAGATTTACAAACCGAAGGTTAGCTGTTGGCTTTGGCTCGAGTTGATTTCATAGAAGGTTAATCGGGTTAGGAGTTATAAAATCAAACCAATAGTGATAGAAATAAAAACCAATCGATAATTAGTCCAATTGAAGTCGCGTTCGGTTTCAAAGAAGATGCCCACTGTCGAAGATCGGATTTTGGTTTCAGGTTCGTGAAAACAGTTCGATGTCATATTTTTCATTTTTTTGTTCACTTCAAATTGGGTTCGAACAGATTCCACCCATCTGTGCTTATCCTAACAAGGTCACATGAATCGATGGTGCTTCAGAATCGCCATGTTTATGTTTTCAACAAAAATAAAGACGGCCCAAAGCATGGAGTATAACAAGTCGGTCAGTTTGACAAACTGCTTGAATGTTGATAGAGGATAAACTGTGAAAAGGTTTTATAATGCAAATCGTATGAATTTAATCAATTAGTTGTGGCCTGATTGGTTTTTGCTCCAGTCCCCTTCCTCCTACGAAAAAGGTGTAAAGAATAGGTGTTAGTAAGATTAATAACTATTTTATAATTAATCCAAGAACGGCATAGTTTGATGGTTTGATTCGTCCATGAAGAAAATTTTAAAAGAGAATCCTCCGCAATTTTAAGAACGTCGGTCTAGTAATTTAAGAAAATAACTCAATTGAACGAAACTTGTGGTATGTATACAGTATGTTTGTTTGGTGGGCTCAAGTCCCACATCGGGAATGTTTTTGAGCGAATGGGAGAGGGTGGCGCGCTCTTCTCTTATAAGATTATAAGAGCCATAACCTCCTTTATTTTAGGATGGTCCCACCTTGTTTTTCATACTTAGTTGGGTTTAGAACAAGTTTACTCTTTTGTTCTCCTCGAATTTGTATATTTTCTTTACGTGAACTATAAAATTTGAAAATTGGTTTTTTTTTTTTTTTTTTTTTTTTTTTTTTGTTAAATAAACATGCACTAGGCCAGATTGAGGCTTTTTCATGAATTACAAAAGTTAGGGGACTAATTTCCGATCCATTCAGCAGTATGTTTAAGAAAAGTCCGGTTTTATCGTGTATATAGATTTAAACCGAAGGTTACTGTTGATTTGGCTCGATTGATTTCATAGAAGTTAATCGGTTAGATTTAAAATCAAACCAATATGATAAAAAAACCAATCGAAACTAATTAGTCCAATTGAATCGGTTCGGTTCAAATGCCCACTTCAATCGATTTGGTTTCAGTCCTAAAAAGTTCGATTCATATTTTTCATTTTTGTTCACTTCAATTCGGTTCGAACAGAATCCACCATCTGCTTATCCTAACAAAGGTCACATGAATCATGTGTTCAAATGCATGTTTATTTTCAACAAAATAAAAACGGCAAAATCATGAGTATAACATCGGTCATTTGAAAACTCTTGAATGTTATAGAGATAAAACTGTAAAGTTTTATAAGCAAATCTATGAATTTATCAATTAGTTGTGCCATGATTGGTTTTCTCTCACGAAAGGTGTAAAATAGGTGTTATTCAAATTATAACTATTTATAATTAATCCAAAACCATAGTTGATGGTTTGATTCAGTCATAAAATTTTAAAAATTAAAATTTTAACTCGGTCTATAATTTAAAAAATAACTCAAATTGAACGAAACTGTGTATGTATACATATGTTGGTTTGGTGGCTCAATCCCACATCGGGATTTTAGCAAGGGAGAGGGTGGCCTCTTCTCTATATAAAGAGCCAACCTCCTTCAATTTTAGATGTCCCACCTTGTTTTTCAATACTTAGTGGGTTAGACAAGTTTCTCTTTTTCTCTCAATTTGTATATTTCTTTAGTGAAATATAAATTTGAAAATTGGCCCAACCTCGTTAAAATTTTGGTGTTCTCTCTCATTTATTGCTTTGTTTTTATTTATTTAATAGCTATTATTGTGCAAAAATATTTTGTTAGTCAGTCCACTAGCTTGGGGATTTTGGGAATTTACCTGGTGTAGTTACTCAGTACAGTAATTCACAAATTGTTTTTAATTTGGTAGAAAAAGCCCAATTTTCAAACAGTATATATATATTTGAACTTTTTAAAGGAATTTAATTTTTGAATGAAAATTTTTTTATCATTTTTTAGTTTATATTAGATAGTAATTAAATCATAATTTCATCATTAGTTAGGTAAGTTAGAGAAAAGAATACAAGAGTATATAAAATATTCCATAAAAATCTAAAACATGTAATGGGGATTTAGAGGAGATGGTAAGAATCTTTTTTTACTTATTAGAAAATTCATTACCTATTCCACAGCACATTGGCTACTGAATAAGGGAATGGGGAATAGAAATTTCATCCTCGTTCCTATTCGGTCTACTAAACGTAAAATGAAAAAATTAATATAAAATTAAAAAATCAAATTCTCTTTCCATATTATTTAGAGATTGATAGAGTTTTTTATAAAACGTTAAATACTCTAATATTTAAATTTTAACTTTTAGCGTTTAGCTTTTAATTAAATTATTTTAACAATCATATACCAATTTTTTTTTATCCGAATTTAGCTAATTAAACAATTATATACCAATCAGAACACTTCTAATTAAATCTTACCACCTAAAAACTAATAGTTAACTGTTAACAGTTAATAAAACAAATAAAAACTACTAAAAAACAGTTAATATTGTTGAACAGATCTAAAAAACGAAAAGAGAAATAAGACCACCATATTCATTAGACAGAAATAAGATAAAACTTGTAACTAAAAGCACCTACGAATAGCTATAAATCCGAAACAACAAATCTTATGTTGAAAAAGAGTGTGAAAATGCTGTTGAGAAAAAAAAGAAAAAAGAAAAAAAGGAAAAATGAAACCTGTAAACCTACCATAAGTGCAATTCTTAAATTGAAATCATATTTGCGTTCATTCTAAGTTGCAATTCTTAGAATAGGGTTTCAAATTTTGTTTTGGTTTGACAGAGATATTTTATTCTTTAATTTGTATGAAAATGATATAAATTTTTAATTTATTTGAGTTACCTGTGAAATGAGTGTGAAAATTATTCTTTTAAGTCCAAAAAACTTCATTTCAAGTTTAGTTTTTTTTTTTTTAAATCATTGCATAGAATTTATTGTTTTACATTAAGAATAATGATTAAAAATATACATAATTCTAATATAAAATTTGGATTCCTTGTGAACTAAATTGAAACTAAGTTCTATTCTAGCAGTTGCATTCAATTATTAATGTTGGAGCAAACCAAACATGATCTCATATAAAACAATGTTTTAGGGCATGTTCGACAATGTTAGTTGTTTTAGTAACTGTTAGCATTTTAATAATTATTAGCGGTTAGATGTTAGTGGTTAACTGTTAGCTGTTTAAATAGTGGTTAAAAGCGAAGGTGTTCGGTAAAAATAGCTGTTTGATTGGCAATAAATATAAAATGACAAAAAAAAGACATTGAAATATTTACCTAGAATTTTCACTAATTATAGCCATAGAATTAAATTCATTATAAAAAAAAAAAAAGAAAAAATGATTTCACTAAACCTAAATTTCTAAAATTTAAGGGAGCAAAAATTGAAAAGTTTCCTATTTTATAAATAAAATTAGAAATTTTTAATATTTTAGGGGATCAATATTTTTTTAATTTTTAATTTTTAATATTTGTTTGAGTTCAAATACAAATATATAAATAAGCATTTTTTTCTTTTACTATCAATTATGAACAAGCAAAACATAAAAGATAATAAAAAACCAGTGTGATAGTAAAAGGATTTTAAATTAATTAAGGATAAAGTTGTAAAAAAATTTCAGTAAAAAGAGTGAAACGCTAAATATTTTGTAGGATAACATTTTAGAAAACGTTTCCTCGTCCTCTAAAAGCTATTCTATGGGCCTGTTCGGCAATACTATTTGTTTTAGTAGCTGTTAATTGTTTTAGTATCTGTTAACTATTTTAATAGCTGTTAGCTGTTAGCTAGTAGAGATTATCCTGTTAGCTGTTTAAAAAGTGATTGAAAGCGAAAGTGTTCGATAAAAATAATTGTTTGATTCGCAATAAATTTAAAATGACAAAAAAAAAGACATTGAAATATTCACCTAGAATTTTCAATTAAATTCATTAAAAAAATGATTTCATTAAACCTAAATTTTCAAAATTCAAGAGAGCAAAAATTGAAAAGTTCACTATTTTATAAATAAAAAGAAAAATTTTTAGCTTTTTAGGGGATTAACATTTTTAATTTTTAATATTTGTATGAGTTTAAATACAAATATATAAATAACATTTTTTTTCTTTTACTATCAATTATAAATAAGCCAAACATAAAGATAATAAAATACGTAATGTAATGTCGAAAGGATTTTATATTAATTAAAGATAATCATAAGGATAAAATTGTAAAAAAATTGTAAAAAGAGTGAAAGGCTAACCTTTGATTGTACTCTAAACTTTTGAATTAGTTGTAATTTCACTCTAAATCGACCCTTGTATTTTAGACACACTCAACTTATGAACCTAGTTGTAATTACACCCTAATTTGAATTAATACCCAACTCATTATTTTTACATCTTCAAATTAGTTCAGTTTTAAAATCAATTATTCAATCTTGATTTTTTTTTATTTATTATATGAATACTTGGTTTTGATTTTATTATTTATTGTTTAAATACTTGGATATGGAATCCATTTTTTATATTATTTTAATCAAAATTCAGTTCTTAGTTTACTTTTAGGGTGTAATTGCAACAAATTGACAAATTCAAGATATTGTAATTCACTTTTAGGGTGCAATTGCACCTTAAAAGTAAATTAGAGTATAATTACAATTGGATTTATAAGTTGAGAGTGTCCAGGATACAAAGGTCGATTTAGAGTGAATTGCAACTACTTAGGCTGTGTCCGACATTAACTTTTTAAGTATCTTAATGCTATTTAAAAAGTTGTTCCGTAATATAGCATTTAGACTAGCTTTTAGAGATTAAGGTAGTGTTTTGTGAAAAATTAAATCATATAACATTTAGCTTTTAGCGTTTCATAAAAAGTTACTAAAACAACTAACAGTTAAACGCTACTAAAACAGCTAGACCTCTTAAAGCTACTATATATATCAAGTTACCAAACACAATAATTTAGAGAAATAGAGTTTTGACTAGTTCAAAATACTAAATGCAAACGCTATTGCCTAATACGCCCTATATTATGAGTTACCGAACACAATAATCTAGAGAAATAGTGTTTTGACTAGTTCAAAACACTGGAAGCTTTGAAGACTGTTGCTAAACACACTCTACACTGTTGCCAAACACAAACCTTTATATACACGAGTCTATCAATGACATGACATAATTTGAGTTGGAATTATATTTTTATTATTTTTTATATTTTAAAATATTTAAAGAAAAACTGAATATCAAGATGTTAATTTCTTTATCTCATTTTTAGTTATTAATATTATAATAATAATTATGCATTTAATTTTTATTCATTATATAAAATTTTGTATAAATGAAAGAAAAGGGGAAAAACACAAATATGTTATAAAATATAAATTTTTTTTTTTCTAGTTTACACTTTATATTTAGAATTTTTAACCTTAGGAGTAAAATTTAGTCACATCTAAACCCCCATTGAGAATATAAATAAAATCAATAATTATAATGATAAACTTGTGAGTGTCGGCAGTTTGAATATATTTGAAATTTGGTGCGGACGCTTAAAAAATGTTGATGCAGCTATAATTAAATACAACAACGTTCATGACTTTGGAAGGAATGGCAAATTATTGTAGTTTGACATGTTTGTTAGTGGACCGTCGTCAGAAAAAACGCCCTGCTTTGTTTTTCTTAGTTCATTCTTGGCCTTTTCTTATTATTATTATTATTTGTTTTTTCATAATTTTCAACGAAGAATCATTACATGGTTGTTCAGATAATTCTTAAATAAATTCAAATTTTCAAGTATGTGAATCAGAGGTAGGAATTAGCATTCGGTTAATTTTTTAAGTGAATTGTTAAACCAAATCCACTTAAATTAGAAATTGAAAATCGGATTTTTAATAACCAAATTGAATTAAATTAGAGATGGAACTGAATTAAGTATATTTTATATATTGTGGTAACACACCCATCATATATATATGCGTGAGCGCTTCCAATTGATGAAAAATATATTTAATCAACTCAAAAATGATAATTATTTTATTTCTATTGAAAATAAATTGAAAACTATGCTCAAATTTCTCACACAAAATAATTATCCATTAGGTGAATGAGGTGAAACAAATCTCTATTAAATAGATTTAGCTATTTTATATATTAATGATGTCATTTGTAGTTTTTTTTTAGTCTTAATTTCAAAATATACCCTTTTCCCTTTTAGTTTATTTAGATTGCTTGAACTAAAACCAATTAAACTGATTAAATTTTGATTATTAACCGAATCAAATGGATCACATTGAAAATGAACTAAATTAACAAAAAATAATTTTTAAAATAGGTTTAACCGAACCGAATGCGGGATCCTTATTTTCCATTCTGCTTTTGTCTATAAATGAATCCGCACTAATACTCAGAAGTGATCTTGTTACACTAAGTGATCCGCACTAATGACAGTGGCTAATATTTTATTATGCACTAATAAACAATTTCAAAAATAAATTTATCCTTTTTTTCTTTTTAATTATGTTAATTATAATGAAATATGAATAACAGGAATTATACATTCATTGAATTAATTAATTATACCTTATAATACAATAAAGTTTCAGAAATACCATAAGAAATATTTAGTTACTGCAATTTCAGAAGTCAAATGCTGAAACAGCAGTGCATAAGTTTTTCTCTGTCCATTTTAGATCCACAGTTTTGCAGTTGGTCAACAGAGTGCTTGATTGCTTAAACTCTCATTTAGATAAATAAGTAAATATAAGAAAAAAAAAATTATACAATTACAAATTTATATGTCAATAATTAATTAATTAATTAATTAATTAAATGGGGATGTTGGTAGAATAAGCTAATCACAATTAAAGTGACAAGCTAAAGCTCCTAGTAATAAGATTAGGAATAGACTTATCAATTAATCAAGTAAATAAGCAAAGAAAATACTTTCTTTTTTTTTTTTTTTTTTTTTTTTGTAGAATAAGCTAATCAACAAGTTAAAGGTGAGCAAGCTAGGAAGGCTGACGCTAGTAATAAGATTAGGTAGACTTGATCAAATTGAAGGTCAAGTAAATGAAGGCAAGGAGAAAATACTTTTTTTTTTTTTTTTTTTTTTTTTTTTTTTTTGATGTCGATTTAGCAACAGCAAAAAACTTAGGCAGACAGAAAGATTTTTTTTTTTTTTTTTTTTTTTTTTTGTGTCATTTACAACAGCAAAAACTTACAACAGAAATCAGGAATAAGCTTAGACAACTAAAATCCCATTTTCCTTAATTGTGTCGAGAACGATCCCAAGCTTACCTTCAATCCGCTCATTCTTTCTAGGTTCATAAGATATAGCATATACATCAGCTTCCTTTGATCGCTCAGCGATAAGCTTTCCTATAAGTCTGCAGGCATTGTGATCTGTCAGTGATGGTATGCTGTTTCTTATATCTCTGGCATTTGTCGTAGCAACAGATACCACTTTGCTTGTTCCTCGATGCATGACTTTCGCATGGATAAATCTCTTTGAGAAAAAAACGTTCAGTAAGAATGGCCTCATGTACATATCTGTCCTCTGTTTCCACGATTTTCGGCTAGGTTTCTTTGCAGCTTCACCCCGAGATCTCCTGGTCCATGCAGCTTGAATGAAAGAATTCTGCAGACATGTGAAACGAATATCAGAGCTCCATTTCTTGTAAAATATTAATTTATGATTTACAGCTGTTCAGAAAACGTATTTTAGAACAGTCCATTCTAACAATACACAAACAATTCGATGACATTCCCATATCAGCAGAAGATGAGGAATATAAAAAGATTATAAGGACCAACAAGGAAAATACAAGTATAATTTAACCATGTCGTGTTAACTATGACCTAACAAAAAACCCTAACTTGAACACAACCTAAATTAATTGTTTCGGTTGCTTTTCTGAGGCCTGGAACTTACAGATTATTCAGAATTATTATCAGACAGTTTTCTTACAGGACCACCTCACATCAAGGTGGAAAACTTCAAATTTCTGGTATGCTTTTTTGACCATCAAAAGCGTGTAATCCAGTTTCCAAACGATCATAATTACTACTATGTCTCATTCTGGGAGATTAAAGTTGCATCATTCTCAGTCCCACAACAAGCATATTCCATATGATTTGTTAAGAAATCCCGAGGAAAAAGGTGATTCAGACTTTTGAAAGTCAAAATGTTCTATGATTTTATGTCCCCACAATTAAGAAGAAGACCTCACATCTTCTCTAGTCGGTTGGAGTTGAACTCAAAAGCATTAGCTACATGCTGGCTGCAGATTACTGCAAGGCAAAGGCACTGGCAGAAGAAAAAGGCTGACTACGAATGAAAACATCAAGGAATAAATTCCACATACTTATTAACATGCAAGATTTTTGATAAGTATCCAACATGCCATCAATGACTGGAAATACTATTATTTTACTTGGCAAAGCAATCACTGGAAACATTGATTGACAAACAAGTTGGTTTCTAAAAAATGGCCATGAAATGGAGAAATTATATAGCCTTCAATAATATCCATTTTCTTCACAGCCACAGAGAGAGAGAGAGATCCCACACAAAAAATATCATAACTATGACTTCTCTTGGGGCTGATGCTTCAGGGGCCTCTAATGGGGTGTCTTTAGCAGAATTGAAGTCGCTTCTCTATTAATCTTGTTTCCATGTGTTTGCATTTGTTTCACTACTATCTTTTTGTTCTACCTTGTCCTCCGAGCTGCATTTCTTATCTTTTTTTTTTTTTTAATAAGCTTTTTTCCCACAAATAATTTCTGTAGTGATCCATTGAACAGAATCTCTCCTTCGGTTGCACTAGGAATTCTGCTATTCTGAAGTGATTATCCCTCCTTAGATGGGCATATTCATGCAACATATAGAAATTTAAGGTCAAGTGCCCTGATAACTGAGTTGTGAGAAAATAAATGTTTTCTGGGTGCAGTAGATTCAACCAATTTTTGCCTGCCACCCTGCAGTCTACAATGGAAAACCGGTCTAGTCCTGGCTTCTCACTACTCAACAACTCCTCTACTTAATTGACCACTCAGATAAGTAACATGGACTGGCCTCCTTCATTTTGCTATAATTATCCTTGGTCCTGGACTCAAACAGAGAGGGGGCTAGGTTCATACTTTATATACTTAAGATTCAAATCTTAAATTAGCAACTGAAGACAAAAAAATGATACAATTATCCTTCTTGCCTCACACTAAACAGTAAGCAAAAGGCCAAACCTCCCCCCGCCCCCCCCCTTGCAGTCTACCAATTGAGATACTCAAAGCCGGTCTTAGTCCTGGCTTCATCACTACCATCACAACAACAACTCGCTCTACCTATCAACACACTTTGGACACACTCAGCATAAGAACCAACATGGACTGGCCTCCCTTCATTTCTGCCTATAATTATTACCTTGGTCTGCGAACTCACAACAAGCAGCTAGGGAAAGCGCTAGCGTTCATACTTTATATACTTAACATTCAAATCTAAATATAGCAACTGAAGACAAAAAAATGATACAATGTATCCTTTCTTTGCCTCACACTAAACAGTAAGCCAAAAGGCCAAAACACCTCCCCCCCGCCCCCCCCCCGCCCCCCCCCCCCACCCCTTCAGACTTGTGTAGACGGAAAAAAAAAGGGGGAACTTAATTACAGCCCCCCCCCCCCCCCCCCCCCCCCCCCCCTTCAGATTGTGGAGAGGAAAAAAAGGGGAATATACAGCATGTAGGTTGTGTCAAATCTATTTGATAAAATTTAGAAGCTTCAGCATCTTGAGACAGCTTTTGCATATCACATGAATCACGTTAAGAACCACTGTGCCTGCCAAATCCCTTGGCAAAGTCACAAGGCATGATGTGCACAAGTTTGCAACCACCTAAAAATGTCTTCATTGAGTGAGAAATTTTCTATATGAATCCTAGTATCCTACAGAGGACCAGCTCATAGCACATTATTTTGGCAATCACTCTAGCATGTTCAAGTTCAAGTTTGACAATGAAATGACGTTTTTCAGTAATTATATGCAACTCAACTCTACGTTTGGTGAGATATTTGCTCTAAGCCTACTCTCTAGTGTTGTCACTTTATATCTTCAACTTAGCTGAGGAACCTGACTTTTTTTTTTTTTTTTTTTTTTTTTTGTGAAAACAAGCAATGAGATCTTTTTTTTTTTTTTTTTTTTTTTTTGTGAAAACAAGCAAATGAGATCTAAAATATGGCAGAGGAAGAGGCACATGTTGGAATCAACTATTTCCAAATCATTCTATATTTATAGTTTTATAGGACTATATCATCCAGCCAGTGCCAAATATTCAACTTGTTTCATAAGACTGGAGATTAACTACTCATTGTTCAAATATGGCAATATCTGAAAAGTAAAATGAAAACAATTTAGCAAAGATAATGCTGAACTCCGTTATGCATTACTTGGTTTTACAGCCCTCAGAACAAGAAGCCTTATGAGCTTATGGCACTAAGGCAGTCTAAACCATCCTTGCCAATAAGATTTTCATTTATTGAGGCATTCAACTTATTTTTTAGCAAACAACTATAGTGTTATCCCTTTTTTGCTATAAATGAATACGATGCAGAGTCATTTACTTTGATGAAATTTGATTTAGTTATATGTTGAATTCTATGAAATTTAATTTTTAAGAGTAAAAAGAATGTTTTAATTAATATCAAACAGGGCATTAATATCTACATAAAAATTAACTATCATAGTACTAACACCTCCACGCACCAGAACTTCTATAAAATTAGGCATTCCCTTGATATTTTAACCAACTATCTCAGTCTTCTAAAAACCAATAAATGAGGACCTGGGCTTCCTCAAGTCAAAGAAAAGTCGCGGTATTTCTTTTTACCCCCAACAACAAAGAAGGTTAGAAAGAAGAAACGAAAAAAAGGTTCATTCTTTGCCACCAACTATGTTGCATGTGATTGAAGGAGGATTTTAAGTGAGATTTCAGAAGTATTTCATCCAATAGAAAGAGTAAGTTGAGAATACTCTATTCTCAATAAGAGCACTGGACCCCAATAAGTGCAGATGAATCTTCAACCACATAGACCAAAATCGAAAAGCCAAATCCCATTTCCTCTAGCTCCACACAATAATCAGAAAAGCAAGTTGCTAGGTGAAAAAAAAAAAATTTAAGCTTTATCTACCCGCATCAAGCTCCCGACAAATCCATTGCAAGGCCTCAGAACTGTGACAATGCACCCAAATTTAACATTTCCCCTACGATTAATTACTTATTTTTCATTCTATAGTACAATTTTCAATAGAAACAAAAGGATTGCTAACAAACTTCACAAGCGAGCAGATAATTATTACTCTGTAACAAATTATAAAGCAAGGGGGCAACAAATGAGGCCTTCAAAAGACAAACATAAATAGCCCCATGTTTGTTTCCCAGGAAAAATGGGCAGCAGAAAAGAAAAAACATTAAAAATTAAAATAATTTCATTTAGAACCAATCCAATAGAAATAAAATTTCAGTTTAGACAAGTTATACAAGCACAAAAAGGGACTGAGAGATTGAAGAAGAAAGTGCATACCTTGTTGAGAGTGGGATTGGGACAGATTGAGAGTGACCCGTTACCAACAGAGATGTTTAAGCGAGGAAATGAAGAGACCCATGAAAATGAAGCGAGTTTGACTGAGTGATTTGAATGAGTTGGGAGTGAGTCAGCGGAGACGATTGTCCGAGTTGATGCTGCTGCAGAACAAGAAGATATTATGCAAGCCATCTCTTTTGCTGGAAACGCAGGCACTTCCACTTGTGCTAAATATTTTGCTACTTCCCTCGGCGGCCCGCCGGAGATGGTTTCAACTTGGAAATGGGCCCTGGCCCATAGTGCTTAATTAGTTGGATAGGATCCAGAGAGGTGTTCATTGAACCAGCATAAACAATCTAAACAGATCCAAAATCATAATTTTAAAAAATATAAAAACTGAAAAATTAGTTTAATTTATGATTTTAACGTTGAAAATTAAAGGGTGTTCATCAAACACCTCAAACCGTCTAAACCATCTAAAATCATAATTTTTGAAGTTAGTATTCTAATTTAGTTTGAAAAATATAAAAAGCTGAAAAATTAGTTTGCTTTATGGTTTGAAGTCATTAAAAGTGTCCGCAAACTTGTTCATTGAAAAGATGTTTGACTTTTGATGCCTTTGGACTAGGGTTGGCAACAGGGCGGACACCTACAAAAAAACAAACTACCTACTCCGAATCTGTTAATAATTTAAATACTCAAATCCGTCACGAATCTATGAAAAAATAAACCAATAATATCCAAACCCATTCCAAATCCATTTGAAAATACCAACATATTACCCGAATCCGTTTAAATACCCATTTAATTACAAATTTATTCAATCCATCAAATCCAAACTCAAAGTGCAACAAAAAAAATACATACAAAATACATTAAAATTCAACTTCAAAATAATAAAACAACTTAACCTGTAATATTCAAAATAATAAAACATATTAACCTGTAATATTCTCAATCAACAGTACATAGTAATATTAAAATAGAACAAACAAATTGAAATTCAAACCTATATCTCACTTCTCTATTAAAACAATTTGACAATCAAACATCTATTAAGGTTCAATAAGAATAATATCAACCACAAACTAAAAACCAATTAAAATATAATAATAATAATAAACTATAACAAATTATAATGAGAACAAAATCCATATAAAACATAATAAAAAGTATGTCAATAAAAAAATTACTGAATTAAAAGGTACATCAAAACAAAACAACCCTCGAAATGCATCGTGACAACCCTAAAAATGACATTTAATTCTCTCCACGGAACCACCACCTGATTCATGGGTGCGTAGATGTCTCTTTAAGTTCTTTTTCGACTGCTTTGTCCCACAAATCTCACAAGTCAAGTATGTGTGGCATGACTGGACGTGTGCCTGAAGGCATTGAACATTGAAAAAATGCTTCATACAGGCTGGTTCTGCACAAATTGCCTCCACCGGATCCAATTTAACTGCAGCAGTGAAGACATTTATTAGTGAACACCGAATAGTGATTAAATTCCAATTAATAAATAGCTAAAACTCCAAACCAAGCATACAACATTCTTATTTTGAGAAAAAATATTCTAATTGGACAAATACACAAAAACATTCACACAAGTACCTTGTATATATCCACCTAAATTACAAAAAGAGGTCTGAAAGTTGATCTTTCAAAAAGATGGGAGAAACAGATTGGACAGGGAAGAACCTTACCATGAGAATCCTCATGTTTTTGCAGCTTTGACAAATATCTAAACACCTTTCCACACCCAGATTCTTGGCAAACATACTTCTTCTCACCAGCATTGGTTGAGGGGGACTTCTCACTATGAAACTCATTAACATGCCTTTTCACATTGCCTTGGAAAACAAACTGACGGTCACAATTCTCAATAGGACACTTAAAAAGCCTTCCTTCATGCTTAAGAAGGTGGCGAGTTAAATGGTCGTTCCTTCTGTAGCTGGCATGGCAATCGTCAACCAAGCACACATATGGCCTCTACAAAATCAGAAATAAGACATCAATGATGGGAACTATATGCACAATTAAACCACCAACTTGTTACCTGAATAAAGAAGCCCTCAAACCTCATTCAACCAGTGCGTGACTGAGGCTCACTTGAAGGAGCTTCTCAGGAGGTCTCCCAACCTGATACTAGTCCATTCAAGTCTAAAATTGCAGCCTCTTGCATTTTGGAGTTCTTTGTGTGGGATCCAATGCTTTACGCCATTACATCAGGTGCTTTTCATTTCATTGGAAAAAACAAAATTATCATGCAAGATTATTAACTTCCAATAGCTGCATATGCTAAAAACAATGCAATTACATCAAATCCCATATGGGAAAAAGAATGCAAAACTCCAGAGAACAAAAGAGCAGAGACTTGAGAACAATATTGTACTGGACAAGATAAACTCACAAAAACAATTCAAGGATGGATAATATAGTAAATCAAAACCTTTTCAAATCAGGAAACGGTGAATAAGCGATCAACAGCTAAAGCAGTACAATCAACACAAAGCAAAACAAGCAATGAAAATAACTTAACGGCCATGATACCTACCACAGTGGAATGACTTTGCATATGTTGTTTAAGATATGTGGGTTTCTTGAAACTGGCACCACATTCTTCGCAAGTATTAGACTTAATACCCTCAAATTTCTTCATTTTTATCTTTTTCCTCCTCCATCTCCTCCTGAAAAAGCATGAAAACAATAACAAAAAATATTTCAAATCGAAGCGCAGGACACAATAAAAACCTTAAATACCGATCCCCAATGATCTGAAGAACCACTTTACCAAAAATCCAGATCCAGATTCACTTTTTAATAGAAAAACCAATGCAGACTCGAAAATAAAAGAACATAAGAGAGATGAAAGAACCTTGTGGTGAATTTCCATGTGAGAAGTGATAAGAGACTTCTTAGATCTACAAATTCCACAGTAATCACAGAAATAACGTCTAATATCTCGAGAAAGTGGCCTTGGCCTTTCATTTTCCATCGATTCTTCCATTTCTCTGTCGATAAGAAGAAGAATGAGAAAGTTTAGCTGGCTGCATATATAATATTTTATGGCTGACAAAAGAAAAAACAAACAGTAATCACAGAAATAACGTCTAATATCTCGAGAAAGTGGCCTTGGCCTTTCATTTTCCATCGATTCTTCCATTTCTCTGTCGATAAGAAGAAGAATGAGAAAGTTTAGCTGGCTGCATATATAATATTTTATGGCTGACAAAAGAAAAAACAAATTCTCATGTCCCCAATTTATTAATAATTTTTTTCTTTTAAACTGAAATGCAAGATTTCATTAAAACCTATTGGCAACAAAATACATTATAGTAATGATCTTTGTACTAAGCAAATATTATTATCGGTGATGGTTCTTGGCTCATGGCAGTCCAAGATCATGGCAGCCAAATTGTCTATTTTGCCTATATTTAACTGTGTAGTATCGGTTTTGTCCTTACTTAAAATTGATAGATTTTGGTGGATAGGAATAGAATGAAAATTTAAAATTCAAAATTTTCTTTTTTATCATTTAATAACCCTAGACAAAGCATTAAATGGGAGTGAGTATCAATGAACATACAAAGCTTTAAATTTTATTTATTTATTTATTTATTTGACTCATCGATTAACGAATACTACCATAATTGTTTTTTTTATTTTTGAAAGGGATTAACAAAGCCCATTATTTTTCAGTTGAAATGTGTAAAAGCTTTCTTCGTTTTCTTCTTTTTTTTTAGCAGTTGTTTAGCACTCACTGCTGCTCTCTGTAGTTTCAATATCTATCTTAGTTGCTATAATGAATTCTTATTGCAACAGACGTAAATCAAAGTTTTATTTAGTTTTTCATGGAATCGAGCCTGAGATATATAGATCGTGGCAAGAAAGCTCAAGACGTGTTCTAGGTGCCAACCATAATATGTACAAAGCCTATAAGACTATGGATGAGACCGTGAAAGCTTACAAATTGTTTACTGAATCAATAGTGTTTTCGATGTCATCAAGCATCTACAAGTTCTGGTCTTATTAAGATTCAGCTAGATAAAAGACATTAATATTTGTTTTCATCTATATAAAACAGGATATTAATATTTATATATAATTTAACTAACATAGTAGTATAAAGCTAGTTGCTAGGTGAACTCATGTCTTTGGAGAACTCATCCCTCTAAAAGCTAATTGCCAGGTGAAAAAAACGTAAGGCTTTATGGACCCACATCACGCTCCCAACAGATACATTGCAAGGCCTTAAAACTAAATTTAACAATTCCTCTACAATTTATTACTTATTTTACATTCTATAGTACAATTTCAATAGAAACATACAGACTGATAATAAAACTTCACAAGAAAGCAGATAATGATTACTCTTTAACAAAGTACAAAGCAAGGGGGCAACAAATGAGGCCTTGAAAAGACAAATACAAACAGCCCCATGTTTGGCTCCCAGGAAAAATCGGCAGCAAAAAAGAAACAACATTAAACATTAAAATAATTTCATTTAGAACCAATCCAACAGAAATAGAGTTTCAGTTTAGGCAAGTTATACAAGCACAAAACGGGACTGAGACATTGAAGAAGAAAGTGCATACCTGATTGAGGGTGGGATTGGGACGGATTGAGAGTGACTCGTTACCGACAGAGATGTCTAAGCGAAGAAATGAAGAGACACATGAAAGCGAAGCGAGTTTAACTGAATGATTTGAATCTGGGCAGCGAGTCAGCGCAGACAAGCGTTCCAGTTGATGCTGCTGCAGAACAAGACGATATCATGCACGCTCTCTTTTGCTGGAAACGCAGGCACTTTGACTTACTAGCCCTAAATTGTTTGCTATTTACATTGGCGGCTAGCGGAGAGAGGGATGCAACTTGGAAATGGGCCATGGCCCATGGTTCTTAATTAGTTGGATCGGATCGAGAGAGGTGTTCATTGTTCAAGCTCAGGATGTTCTTGAACCACCATAAACAGTCTAAACCCATTGAAAATCATAATTTTAAAGCTAGTCACTCAATTTAATTTGAAAAGTATAAAAAACAGAAAATTTATTTTGGTTTATGGTATTAAAGTCATTATTGTCCACAAATCATTACAAAGATTACTCACTTTTGGTGCCGTTAGATTAAGGCTTTATTAGGTTTAGAACCGGTCTATTTCCTAGGAAATATACTTTCCTGAAAGTATATTTCGAGATAAATTACTTCCTTAAAAATTATACTTCTTAATAAATTACTTTCAAATTACAAAAGATAATACAGTTTG